TTCAATAACAGATTTTAAAGTATCCATCCTTCAACAAAAGTATTTTATCACCCAATTAGAGATTATAGCAGAACTCAAGTTCCTTTACAAATTCAACACTATCAATTTAGGCTTGAATAAAGATCTTATCTGCTGTACACACTACATAGGCAATTTCCTTGCCTTTGATATTTGCATCTCCATATCAAATGCTGCAAATGAAAAATATCCGCTCTGACTTAATTAACTTCATTAACACTTGTCCTACAATATACAGGTAACTTCTTTACTGTTATATACAACCCTGGATTCTGTAATTTCCACTCCAGCTTCTCTGATAAAATAGATTTTACCCATGAAAGCTCATGAGCTAATAAATTTGTAAGTCTCTAAGATGCCACAGGACTGCTCTTTATGGTCTGGTATTATACAGGAGCTCTGACTAGATGGTCCCTTCTGGACTTGACGAAAAGATGCAGGTTAACATCTGATAGTTACTTGAACTGTGTCATACAATCCAATACAACAGTATGTGTGGTCTCTATTCTACCCTTCTTTCATGATTACAAAATGCCCTATATCATGTGACACTGATTTATGTGGCAAATTCCCATTAACTTCAAGAACAGACTAGGACGTAAAGGAGTTTCTATTCTGCTAGAATCAATTTATTTTTAGCAGATCTATTAAACTATGTATAATTTATCCAGTTCTGAGGCTGACTGTGTTTTTAGTAAGGAAGAGCACACAAAATAAATAGTATTGGCCCCAAAATAAGGATGTTAAATGGCAGTTACCTGGCTAATCATATAGTCAATACAATTTGTATCGACTATACAATTACTTAATAGGACTGCTCTGCAGAGCCACAGCAGGGGTAGCTCTAGGAGCCAGCTCAAGCTGATAAAGGCAGGAAGAGGGGGGGGAAGCAATTAGTTGAGTCACTGCTTGACTATCCAATTAGCTTACACTTATCCGATAGCCGACTAGTCGCTTACATCCTTACCCCAAAGAGCTTGTAATATATAACGCTGTGATTGTATTTAGAAAATCTGTGACCCACATTATTAGACTGTACTTCATTTTTACTTTTACTCTACACAAGTAATGTCTGATTAGATCTTCTCTCTCCTAGTGATTACAGAAATAATACCATGGCTGACAGATGTTTCAGTACTGGTTTAGATTTGTATTATAGGCCTGATGTACAGTGCATTTAGGACTTGATCTGCTCCCATTTCAATGACAAAACTCCCCCTGATTTCACTGATGTAAGACTGGGCTCTTAAATAGGAAAGCTCATAAGGCTACCTTTGAAAACACACATTTTCATGTTTGTGTTAGTAACAGTACAGTCCATTCCATCTTACAAATACAGTATACATGGTTTCGGAATATGATTTGCTATCCCAGACCCTGAGGTTTCATTTATGTTAGCATTACCATTATAAGTGTATATGTGCATGAAAAGTAAAACATAGACCTGTATTTTCTATTTGCTCCTTTTTAAATTTCACAACTCTAAATATAGTTAATGCAAATTAATGTGCATCTTAATTTAATTCTATAAGCAAAACAGTTCTCTTGGTTCTTAACTTAAAATGGTGATCAACAAATTCATGTGGGACTCTTGCTCACATTTACTACTGGGCTACGTCTACACTGGCCCCTTTTTCGGAAGGGGCATGCTAATTTTGAAAGTGGGAATAGGGAAATCCGCGGGGGATTTAAATATCCCCCGCGGATTTAAATAAACATGTCCGCTGCTTTTTTTCCAGCTTGGGGAAAAGACGGAAAAAAAGCGTCTAGACTGGCCCGATCCTCAGGAATAAAGCCCTATTCCGGAGGATCTCTTATTCCTACAAATAAATAAAGAGAGACATAACAGACAAATCTGCACATGCAGAGTAGGATCAAGGCCAAAGTTTAGAATTGGATACCTAACTTTTGATATGTAGTCAGCTTAGACTATTTTTCCTGTCAGTATGCACTAGGACAAGGGTGGGCAATAAAACAATCGGTGGTTCACCCGTATTAGCTTCTGGCGGGTCATTGCCGCTATGTTTACCGGCGCCTCCCCAGGTACTGGCAATTGCAGTTCCTGTTAGATGCAGATTGCTGTTCCTGGCCAATGGGACCTACAGGAAGAGGCGCTGACAGGGACACTGCTTCCACAGCTCCCATTGGCCAGGAGTGGCGATCTGTGGCCAGTAGGAGCTGCAATTGCCCATACTTGCAGAGGCACTTGTAAATATAGTCATGGCAGCTCAGATCTGGCTCACGGGCCGGTAAGCCCACCCCTACAATAGGATCTAAAAAAGCTAATTATAATATCAGGGTTACTAATTTGTAACTTGCTTATGGACTAACAATAAGTAACTCAGAGAAGACCACCTCTTCATATCCATCAGTCTAAGTTACTGCACATTTATTTATTTATCTTACAATATAGATAATGCAGCAATGTCAGAGCAATTCATTAGTATGGGCTTCAATATTTGTTTTCATCTTGGTTCTTTTAGTGCCTTGGGGATAGCCTTCCTGATGATGGCTGAGGCTGTCTGAATTTTGAGAGCTCCACATCAAAATCCACAAAGGTATACATATTATACTCATGATGCTGGAGATTCTTGTAGGTAGAATTATCAAATTCTTCCTGTGCAGACACAGCAGCTGTTTTGGTCTCTGTGGAATGAAAATAAGACTAGTGAACCTAGTGATGCCAGAACATCAGCAACAGTCTTTCTGATTATAGCAGTTCCATATAGTTGGAGACTCCTCATTCATTTAACAGGGAAAAAAGTAAACAGCTACAGTGTAAGGTTAAAGCTGCTAAATTTTTGGTGGTATCTTATAAGAGGACACCGAGGAAGCACATAACGCTTCCTTAATTGGAAAAAAAAAAAAAGAGAGAACAGATTATATAAATCAGCTACCACAGGATTCCAAATACATATATGACTCCCTTAAAGTGGAAAACATTAGCAACAGCATTTTTATTTCAACACACAAATAAGTTACTATTGATGGAAATGCATCTGTGTCTACTGTGGAAAAAAAAAAGCACTAAATACTATCTATATCATGTCATACCACAAAATAAAGACATTAAAACAACCTAAGCGGATGATCTTTTCCAATAAAAACTGAGTTACAAAAAAGGATTTCCACAAATTATGTCAACTGTGGCTGTATCATAAAATATAGCAAGGATTTTATATATTAATTCCAATTCGACTTTCCCCTCTCCCTCTGCACTGTGAAATTAGTTCTGTACTCTTTTTTTATTTTTTCTTTATTCTTTTCAAAACCTCACATTGGCTTTCTTTTCTAAAGAGAGATTTCTGAATGATTCATAAAATGTAAATTTCTGATATCACATATACTAAAGCTGACTTTACTTTATGTATTTTAAAAAAGATTACACTAGTTTAAATAAGATCTTTTAGAATAACATTACCGTTCACCTCACCACAGGAGGAAATTGTGAGAACAGTTTTTCAGAGCAAGAAGAAAAGCAAAACAGTACATCCCATATTAGCCTGTACTTTTACATAAACAATGTTGACAGAAAAGTACCATCTAGCAATAAAAGTTTGTGCTGTTTCTATGCAGTGTTTTGTATTAATTTTATATCTACTATATATTTGGGAGAGTATTTGTCTGGCATCTGTCTGTTAGAGAACTCCTCCTGAACGGTAAGAGCTAGGACAACCAGATTTGATATGCAGTTTCCTCTTATAACTTAAAGCAAGGTCAGGGTTTGGTTGTGCCAGGGCAATGGGATATGCCTGGAATGTGATTGTTTTTCATAAATGGAAAGGGAGGGGGTCTGGTAGTAGGGACAGTTATGCTGTATAATAATCACATATATTTGAGAGAGAGAGAGAGAGAGACCTGTCCCAGCCGGGAGACATGCACCCCCTCTCCCTCTGTGCCCACTGGAGCTGTAGCAGTCATGGAGAGGCACTTCTCACCATATATAATTAAAAAATACATGGAGATATACCTATCTCATAGAACTGAAAAGGACCTTGAGAGGTCATCGAGTCCAGTCCACCCCCCTCATGGCAGGACCAAGTGCCATCCCTGACAGATTTGCCCCTATATCCCTAAATGGCCCCCTCAATGATTAAACTCACAACCGTGGGTTTAGCAGGCCAATGCTCAAGCCATTGAGCTATCCTTCCCCCAAAGGTCACAAGCTGCTGCAATGAGAGAGGGCTGGGGTAGCCTGCTTTCCCCATGGCAGCCTGCATACTGATCCCCTCAGCCCTAACCCAAAGCAATGATTTAGGTGAAGAAAAACAAAAATTAATCGAGTTAAGGACCCAAGTAAATCCTCTAATATTATATAAAATCAAAACCTTTATCTCCTGCAATCTAATATTATATAAAATCAAAACCTTTATCACCTTTATATTTTTGGGGTAATGCAACAGTCTCCCAGAAAAACAAACAAGCAAGCAAGAGAATATTGTGTTTTCTCCTTAATCCTTCAATATTGGTGCAGTGATACCATATGTTTCAATAGATGTTGAACCCCTTGGAAACTGGAACAAACTTAGATAATGGCGATTTAAAAAAACAAAAAAAAGTACAATAAAATATGTTTTCTTCCACCATCATATCTAGAAACTGCATATTAAAAAGAGTACACATGGCAGCAAGAATTTACCACCACAGTGTGACTATTTCCTCCAGAGTGCTGTATCAGCCAGCTTTAGAACAAAATATGGAGAATCCAGATCAAAAAGTTGAGTGTAGATATAAATAAACATGTTATTTCAAGACCCAGCCCCAGAAGAACCAATACAGTTCAAACAATTTAAAGCTGTACCATGTATCGTGCCTTGCTCTTCAGTCTGAGCACCTGCATCTTGACTGATCTCTTCCACTATGGCAGTGTTTACCATGAATGCTTTGTCCTTCAAAAACTCTTCTGGTTTAGGAGAAGCTTCTTCTTTTGTCCCAGTCTCCTGCATCTCCCTTTTCTTGGCTTCCACTGATCTCAATACAGTTCGTTTTTGTTCCACTTCTTGCTGGAACCCTGGTGGAACTTTTAGCTGTGCTGCTGCCGGGGCTCCAATGGGAGTTTCTACCAAGTGCCTAGATTTCTTAAGTTTGATAGTTGTTGGCTGTTGGCTTTCTTCAGCCTGTGTTTTTGAGACTGACTTCTGAAAATCTATCCTGTTTGGGCTTTGTTTTATGGAAGGTTTTCTTATTATTTTATTGTTGGCTGTTGCTGTTTTATCAACCTCCATGTTCTTGATGTGAGGCACCTCAATTTTTGGTTTGTAAGGCTTCTTCTTAGGTATATATTCTCCATCTCTTTTCTGGGACAAGCTCTCTTCTGCCAATGTCATCTTCACCATTCTGTTCTCAAAAAAGAAGGGATCTCGCCTTGGAAACTCTACTCTGGTTTTAGAGGCAACTTCTGAGGCACTGTCATCTTCTTCAGAATCAGAGCTAGAATCTGATTCAGAGCTGGATGAAGAGTCTTCCTCAGCCAACTTCTTGCTCAAGCCTTCTCCTCTTGTGACAGAAGCTTTTCCCTCAAGTGAATGAAGTGTTACTCGCTCTGGAAATGATACCAATGTTTTTCTTGACAAGAATTTCCTCAGATCTTCATCTCTTACATTTAAAGCTTCATTGGGGCTAGTACTAGCTATGGTCTTGGTCTCATCTTTATTTGCAGGTGCTGAGTGAGAATTAGTAAACAACTTTTTAGGAAATTCAGCTGCTGTTTTGGTGGCCAGCAGCTTGGTGCTCTCCTGAGGTGCCACCACATCTAGGAAATGGCATAAAGAGGAATATTATCATTCTGTTAATTCTGACACTCCTGTTAATTTGGAGTTCCTAAAACCCAACTTTAAGTTTCTGAACTGCTCTGGTGTAAGTCAAATTTGAAAATGCTATTTTGCCAATTGCACAAACCTTGGACAGCTACATTCTCTATATTGTGCATATATTTGGAAGTGTAGTGGTGCTAGAACAGTTTTTGGAGAGGATACTGAGTTGCGCACACACACCCCTTACCCCTGTCTGTGCTAGTCGCCACCCACCTGCTAGGGACAGCAGCAGGGACCCTGTATGTGGGGGCCAGAGGTGGAGCCCCCAAGCATGGGATCAGTAGGCAGTTGGGACCCCAGGGCTGAACTGGAAGTGGGAGGCTGACAGCCTAACAGGGCACAGGGGGCTGGCGATAGGGCTGAGCAAGGGATTGGTAGCAGAGCCCCCAGGTCACAGGGGCGGGGACCAGCAGTCAGGACCCTTGGCAGCAGGGGCATGGAGCTTGGATGCCAAAACTTGGCACCCCTTACTTCCCACCGCTAGGTGGAAGCAATAAAAATAAGAGCTGTATTTAGCATAAGACATTTTCATTGCTAAGACAGGAACTTATGAGATCTGGCTCTTGTTCCTTACTGTGTCTGAATTCTTATGAGAGCGCTACTATGTAATTTCCTCTGTGCCCCAAATTTGGTATGCAGCTTCCTCTTCCCAATTTACACCAGGGCCAAGGGTTGGTTGTGCCGGAAAACAGAAAGTGCTGGGAATGGAACTGTTTTCCATAACATGGAAAGGGAGGGAGCAGAGAGGAGGGATGCAATAGTGAGAATGGCCTCTGGGGGCAGGTGTGGCACCAAGAGAATAGCCAGCAGGGCTAGGTCTCCACCATCTTGCATAGCTCCAGACCATGTAAGTAGCTCCCCTGACCCAAACTGGGAGCCTGCCACCCCTATGGAGAGCCTACAGTCCTAAACTCACTCCAGCTTTCATTTTCCTTCAATTTTGAATAACACAATTGAAATATAGCATGTATATTTATTTTATTTTAAAAACAAAACAAAAAAGACCCCTTCAGTTAAAGACCAGAGCAATGCAGGTTACATCTGCTATTATTGTACATAAACCTAAGTACAAGACAATAAAGAACATTAACTACTGAGTGATCTTTCTGATAACTAGCACAACAGATTTGCCATCTTAATAAGCAAGAGGGATAACTCATAAATAATGCTTAAATGGCTACAGGACTCTATAATGTATATGACGTCTTGGAAAAAGAGAAAGTTACTGGCTGTAAAAATGTCCTCAATGTATCTGCTGAATTGTTATCACGCAAACAAGTTTTATGTGATATATAGCTGCAAAATGCTGCCCCTTCCTGTGCTGGAGCTTCTCCACTTGCTATTTTGCCTTTTTCTTCTCTGTCTGTTACTCTGTTCTGGGATTTCTTCACATGGATATTTCAGTGGATTTCCTGATATTGCCATCAGCTCTCTGATTATTCCACACTGAGAACAGCAGCAAGCCAAGAGAAACTGCCAGTCTGCACACTCTCTCTAAATAGATGTGGGCACCCCCACTAACCTTTAGTGTCCAGATCATGGTTCTGGAAAGAAAGCAGCAATCTCTAAACTCTTACCCACCTGCGGACCTTAGGTACTCAAGGCAGATTGCATGGTCTGCTGGAGCAGTGGAAAGCCAGGGAGAGAGACTGTATTCTTTTGAGAGGTTCAGGAAGAGGTGGCAGCTGCTATTCAGCACACTACCCTATGCTGCTACTTCCATAAACAGCTACATAATTCCCACTCTGGTGTGTAGTTTAGTGTAGCTCTGCCACGTCACTTGGAAGCCCATGCTGCATAACTTGGATATAATATACCACATAGTTCACAAGGTATTGATTCTTTCCTCACATACTTTTCCCACCAGTTTTACAGTGATGGAAGTTAATTAGGCTGTATGAGAAACAAGAGTTAAGCCTTTAGCAACATGCAAGTTAAGACATCAGTGAAGTCACAGATGCATTACATGAAAAATATTTCAGAAAGAGAAAAATGGTTCTTTTATTTATATTTCAAATACAGCAGTTTAAGATAAATACTGATTTATTATATAGGTATTATTTACTTAAAATAATTTCAGAGTTACAAAATTTATCTAAGCCACAGCACAATCAAATAATGGGTCATCAACTCAGACACCATGGTCAATAGGTATTGTCACGGATATTTGAGAAAGTTTATTCAAATCTAAAAAGATCTTGTACTGAATACAGTGGAAGTGACAAGGTCAACACAAGCGTCAGAGGGGAGGATATCAAGAGAGCAAAGCTAGAGTTGTGTTCATGCTGGTAAGTCTTTAGAAAACAAACAAAAAAATGCAGCAGCAATACAGAAATCACTCGAAGCACTAATACTGGGCATCATTAAAGACTGACAAAAAAGATTGATTTAAAATTCTGTAACTAGTGAAATATTACATAAGAACATAAGAACGGCCGTACTGGGTCAGACCAAAGGTCCATCTAGCCCAGTATCCTGTCTACCGACAGTGGCCAGCACCAGGTGCCCCAGAGAGGGTGGACTGAAGACAATGATCAAGCGATTTGTCTCCTGCCATCCCTCTCCAGCCTCTGACAAACAGAGGCCAAGGACACCATTTTATCCCCTGGCTAATAGCCTTTTATGGACCTAACCTCCATGAAATTATCTAGCTTCTCTTTAAACTCTATTATAGTCCTAGCCTTCACAGCCTCCTCTGGCAAGGAGTTCCACAGGTTGACTACACGCTGTGTGAAGAAGAACTTTCTTTTATTAGTTTTAAACCTGCTACCCATTAATTTCATTTGGTGTCCTCTAGTTCTTCTATTTAGGGAACTAATAAATAACTTTTCTTTATCAGCCCTCTCCACACCACTCATGATTTTATATACCTCTATCATATCCCCCCTCAGTCTCCTTTTTTCTAAACTGAAAAGTCCCAGTCTCTTTAGCCTCTCCTCATATGGGACCCGTTCCAAATCCCTAATCATTTTAGTTGCCCTTTTCTGAACCCTTTCCAAGGCCAAAATATCTTTTTTGAGGTGAGGAGACCACATCTGTACACAGTATTCAAGATGTGGGCGTACCATAGTTTTATACAGGGGCAGTAAGATGTTCTGGGTCTTATTTTCTATCCCTTTCTTAATAATTCCTAGCATCCTATTTGCCTTTTTGACCGCCGCTGCACACTGTGTGGAAGTTTTCAGAGAACTGTCCATGATAACTCCAAGATCTCTTTCCTGATTTGTCGTAGCCAAATTAGCCCCCATCATACTGTACGTATAAGTTGGTTATTTTTCCCGATGTGCATTACTTTACACTTATCCACATTAAATTTCATTTGCCATTTTGTTGCCCAATCACTCAGTTTGGTGAGATCTTTTTGGAGTCCCTCACAGTCTGCTTCTGTCTTGACTATTCTAAACAGTTTGGTATCATCCGCAAACATTTGTCAGCTTATATCATTAGCCTTGCAGATTATTAATGTATTGAAGTTTAGTTAGGCACAGAGAAGAAGAGCATTTTCTCAAAGTCACAGGCTATATTAAACTTTTTGACAAGTGGTATTGAGGTGCTTCAAGCTTTGTAACACAGGATGAACTCAACTAATACTGAACTGAACTGACTCTGCTGGAACAATACTAAGACCCTTTCAGTGGCAGGCATGCACATACTATCCTCATGAGTGACTTGGAAGATAAACATAACAAGAATGGGATCATTAAAGAGTCTAAATAAGAGAAAACAGCAGCCAGTAAGACCAGTTTAAAAGGTCTTCATTGTCAGAAAAGTTGAATATGGAAATGCCATCTCTGTTCCCTGTCCATGAATTCCACAAAAAAAGTGTTCATTTTATCAAGACAAAGAAGATTTTCACAGCCTCCTCAATCTGGAATCTGAAAAATCAGGCTGTGTTTTATGTATTTTTACTATCGATAAAATACACTGGATGGAGTAATCATGTACTCACTGGATGGAGTAATCATGTACTCAAAAAAAGAGATGTCCTAAT